GTCAGGCCCAGGGGGCGTGGCCTGGCCACCCCAAGGGGCGGAGTCACAGAGCAGGGTTGGGGCTGGGATGGCTGAGAGGCCACAGGGGGAGGAGCTGGAAGGGCGGCGCCGTGCCTTTGATCCCTCCCCCCCCCAGTAGGGTATCTCTGGCCCCTATGCGGGCGTGGCTTCGGCCCCCTTGGGGGCGGATCTAGGATCCCACCTATGTGGGCGTGGCTTCCACCTCCAGGAATAAAGGGGTGGGGCTATGGGACACCTCCCTACAGGAGGCAGGGCTACGACCACAGGGGTGGGGCATGAGACAGGGCTTTGACTACAGGGGAGGGGCTCCCCAGGGGGCGGGGCTTTGGGACCCCCAGGGGGCGGGGCTCACCTGCTCCGGCTTGAGGCCGGGCGGCACCCAGGCATACTCCTCGGAGGCGCAGCCCGAGTCGTCGTCGGAGATCGAGTGGCGCTGGAAGTCTGAGATGAGCCGGCACATCATGCGCTCCAGGTCGACGGGCACTGCCCGCACTGCGTGCTCCTCCCGAGGGCACTTGCAGTGCTGGCAGATCTTCCTGGGGGCGGGGAGACCCTACAATAACACACCGCCCCCCCAGAGAGACCCTACAATAACGCACCGCCCCCCCCCCAGAGACCCTACAATAACACACCAGCCCCACCCCCGGAGAGACCCCACAACAATGCACTGCCCATCCACAGAGAGCCCCTACAGTAACACACGCCCCCCCAGAGAGACCCGACAATAACACACGCCCCCCTTCGCCCCGGGAGAGACCCTACAATAAACACACTGAAGCAGAGGGTGACTCCTGGAGGACCAGGAGTGGGGCTGTAGGCTGGGCATGGGTGGGGGAGGGGGTCGGGGAGGAGTCTCTTGGGGAAGGGGTCACTGGGAGGGGGGTCTCTGGAGGGGGAGGGTCCCTGGGGTCTCTTCCCCCTCCCCCCCATGCAGCAGGTGCAGAGAGTCTCCTTCAGCCCCATTAACCCCAACGGCCTG